TTACTGCTTTTGTGACAAAGTTCAACCTCTTTTACTCAATGCTAAAAATGTTTGGATTGTGCCTTCCCTTAACAGAAGACTGGCTGGAGTTTTATATTTAACCCTCTTCTGATCTCTGTATGTTGGTAACATTTCTAGAAATTTGCTATTCAATTAATTCATTCCTGTTGCCCCAAGGTAAGGCTCAGTTTGACTCAAATGATTCCTTGTGCATCGAATAGTAACTGTTAAGTTACTATTGCCTATGAACCTTACTTCAGAACACCTAAATTGGTCACATTTCTCATATTAGAGACAAAATACTTAACAGAAATTTGTTAAGTGTAGATATTTTTTGGTTCATCATTTTAGAATTCCCCAGTCCACAACAGGAAGGGGTTGAGGGCCCTTTATACTGTTTGGAACAATGCGGCAGCAGCTCTACATATCATGGCTGTACCTGAGTTAGGGACATGGCATGCCCTTGGTGAGCTCTTTCTATCCAATCTAAGTCAAATCTGAGAGTCCCACAGCATCCCCTAAACAGTCCAACACCCTGGAAATCTAGTGCTCAAAAAGAAAAAGACAATATCTCCTGAGTAAATTGGGAGATTGGGAACCTTGGGAGAGGGTTGAAGGGGAGGGGAGAGATAGGGAGGGGCGCAGAGAAAAATGTAGAGCTCAATAAAAATAATAATAAAAAAGAAAAAAAATATGCAAGTACATGGAAAACAGTGCAGTTTCAAGGCACCACAACTACAGCTGGTATTTCAACATATAAATCTATACTGTACTCAGCTAATTTTTATCCCCCAGAATTCCAACGGTAACTTCAGCATATACAGGCCACTTCCAAAGCTAACTTTGCATTGTTTCTAGCAACAAACAGTGCACAGAGTCAGTAAGATAAGCATTCTGTTAGTTTCTAGTGGGTGGGATGTTAGAAATACAGTTCTAAAAATTGGTTCATAAGCAGAAATATCTCTTCATGAAAGAATATAACAGATTGCGCTGACACTTGTATAGGGTCGAGTTCTTTGTCTCCTTCTATCTTATTAATTGGATTCATGCCAGTCCAATTCACCAAGTCATACACAGATTCAGAAAAAAAGGGACAAAGACTACAAAATTTCATTAAAGGAAAATATTGAGCTAATGTATTATTTAAAGTAAAGCAACACGTGCCAGCATTTAATTCATTTGCAAGAGAAACTGACATACTATTCATTATGTGATGTCTTCTATTGTTGCTCAACAACTGCATCTTCATCATTCTCTCCTTTCCTCCTTACAATATAGCTTGCTTTGTTTTGGGTACTCTACTTTTTCCTGTATTTCCTGTCTTCTATTTTATGTCAACGAAATCTCTCTTATCTACCAGCTATCCTTTAAACCTCCTTTTTTGAGTAAAGAGGTAAATATAACCAACAGGAGAACATATCTAATTATATGGAACTTAAGGAACTGAACACTAAAGTTTATCACAATGCACACCTTTTTTTTTTTTTTTAGCAGATGACTTGCAGGCTCAGCTGCCAGTCTGAGTTCAGTTTCTTTCATCTTTGCTTTGTCCAGTGTGATAGTGAATACATGTGAGCAAAAAAATCTGTTTCATTTACCTACTTGCACTAAGCTACATAAAACACAATGTACATATGCTGTTATGATAAAGTGGTTGAAAAAATTATAAGATGTTTTATATTCAATATTTACTATAGGTACAATTACCTCTTAAGTATGTAATTTCTTTCTGGTTTAATATTAGAAGTTACATGTCTTATCTAAATATAAAACAGGATGGAATAATACTCCCCTTTCAGTGCTAATATTTCTGATGGCAATTTGGAGACACTGAATTTGACAAGCTTGGGCAGATTTGCCCACGGTCAAAGTAACTGTTGCCATGGTATTTCACTGTATGGTATCCTGATTTGCTGTCTATTCTATTATTCTTGTGGAAGCTAAGTTACTTTTCAAAAAATGAAGAAAAATGAAAGGAACTTGCCTTTGGAAGAGGATAAAAAAGCAAATATAGGAAATAGAAATTATTTTTTTAAAAGCAATTGTACTGAGTAGACCTCCTTAGCAATATCTTATGCACATGCAATCATGCATGCAGTCTCTCACACAGTCACCAAAAAAAAAAAAAACATCGCTCCCAGATACACAGAGAGACATAAGCACAATTATCTAGGAAATAAAAACAGCATGTGTATAAATTATCTCATCTTACTTCAAGTAATTATATTTAATGTTTTTGGAAATTGGAGTTGCCTTTTGGAAATCCAAATCTCTTTCACACATGTGCACATACATACACACATATACAAATAAGCATGATGTTGTTTTAAATATCTTATGTGTAATGTGGTAGTAATAAAATAAATCGTCAAGTAAATTATGTTACTGCATGGCATATCACCCAGTTTAAAAAAATGTCATAATTCAGATATTCTCATGGTATTAGTGCTCAGATCTAAACAGAAAAATATCAGCACACCTTCAATCAAAATTCTACCTCAGAGGAAATTAGTTCCATGCCAAAATAAAAAATTAATAGGTTTTGTTTACAAGCATAAATGGGGCAAAGAAATATGTACTCTTTGTGATTGGTTTATTTGCTAAGCCATATTATGGAATCAATTGATGCCTGATGTAGAGGGAAGACTCATTTATTGATTTGTTTCCCTGTGCAATGATTTGTTTTTCATATTATGTCTTATCTGTAGTAGAATTGACATTTTAAATTAGGTACATTTGCTATGGTAATTGGTATATGAAAATCAGATGTTCCATGATTTTTTTCTCTGTAACAATGTTCTCTTCTCTTCACTCATAACCATAAAAATTAAAAATATTTCCAAGATCAAAAAGTCTACTCATAACCAGATCAATTACATTCGAGATCTACAAATAAATGCCAAAGTATTCTTCTGATAAATTCTTGGTAGATTTTTACATTCTTTATATCTTATGACTTTCCTAAGTATTGTGCTATTAAATTGTTATAGATTTTATCATATACTCACATACACATTGTCTCTCTCATCTCTTTCTCTTTCCATCACCTATCTCTCTCTCTCTCTCTCTCTCTCTCTCTCTCTCTCTCTCTCTCATCTATCTATCTATCTTATATTTACCCCCCACCTCTCTCTCTCTCTCTCTCTCTCTCTCTCTCTCTCTCTCTCTCTCTCTCACACACACACACACACACACACACACACACACACACACACACACACACGTCTTTGTTGAGTATGTTTTACATCTAGGACCAAAGTCACTAGGTTATAAGAAATGGATATGGCAGTCTTCAGGAGTAACTGCTGAGCAGGTTTGTGGAGTAGGCATGCCAATTACACACTCTGAAAAGTTCTAAGCTTTTTCCTAAGAAAATATCCTCAGTTATTTTCTCAACATTTCCTAAAATTGGCATTTAATGAAATCTTATGGCAACTTTAACTTTCAAAAGGCAAATAACTAATAAACTGCTTGAGTTCTTTTAAGATATTTGGCAGCTGAGATATTTTCCTGGTTTACTTTTTTAATGTTGAGTTTAGAACCGTGACTTTTAGATTCATGGTTTTGAATTTGTAGAAGACCTGTGTTTCCTGAGTATAAGTGTTTGGGAATGCATGTGATTTCTCTTGCTTCTTCATTAGTTCCTGCTTTTATTGAGACAAAGATCTTTGTAGACCAGACTGGCTTTAAACTCAGCGTGTAATAGCAAATGTCATTGAACTTCTGATACTACTTTCAGAGAGCAGAAGTTGAAGGTATGTACTAGCACATCTGGTTTTATATGGTATTGGGCATCAAATCAGGACTTTTGTGTGTTAGGGAAGTGCTATACTTCTTGAGCTACATCCCCTTTCCAAAGTGTATTTTGACTTGACCTTTTCAAAAATCTACAAATAAGGGCATGGTCTTAGGCTCAGCACATTATGGTTCCCTGTGTTTGAGCTTTCAGGCCCTGATGTTTTGCGGATCCTGGGGTTTTCAATCTTTCCCTGACTAGCTCCTCTGCAGTTTAGCTGCTTTTGCAGAATAACTTGGCTGCTTGCCCAGCACAACACCAGTGTTACCAATTGGCCCAAGGTGGGAAGCACACAGCTGTTTAACTCTCTTTAATGAGCTTCCCTTTTAATGGTTTCCTGTTTCCTCACATCCTGGTTGTCTTGGCTTTCCAATGCCATTAAACACTCATTTTTGGTTTTGATTTATTTAAAAAAAAAAGAGAAATTTGCTACTCTACTCATCTACAAGTTAGTCCATTTTAGCCTGGACCAGAATTATCCAGTAGTGGTTTGTATAATAATAATAATAATAATAATAATAATAATAATAATAATAATAAATTACTGCAGAGGTTTTGACTTATATCTTGCTTTCATTCTTGAGATCCCTTGTCATGTAATATGAAGAAAAAGTCCTAAAAATATGACATATTTTACTGTGACTGTTGCAAAAAATCCCCCGTCTTTCATTGTGGTCATACTGAGAGTCAGTAAGAAGCTATTTGTTCAGGGTGACTGTATGATTAAGACTAACACTTAAATCAAAACACATAAATAATTACAGGGAAAGCAAGATGCATAAAATACCAATTTCTCATTAGTAGAATCCTCACAAATGTATGCAAAACAGATCTTTATATGACTACATTTATAACTGAGCAAATAAAGCATCTAGTACAACTTTTGACATTGGACATACGTCATGATTTTCTGTATGTTTCACTTTTTGGCATGATTTATTTTTTTCCAGAGAAACATCTGCTACCCACCCTAAGGGCTATCCCATCCAATTGCATAGCTTTAACTTTGAGACTACATTAAATAATTACCTAGATGTTTGAAATTTCTTATAGTTATTATGCCACAAAATGAAAATATTATAAAACCTTATCAATGTACAGTTCTTTCTATCATCTGATATGATAGTCACAATAATATATGAAATAAGCAAGCAAATATTATTATTTATGACTAAATAGCCATTCTGTTTTTTTTTTTTAACAGGGATTTCTCTGTAGCCTAAGCTGGTCTAGAAATCACTTTGTACATCCTCCTGATTCGGTGTGATTACACATGTGAGTTACCATACCAGCTACTTATTTTTATATCGCAGAGAGGTATGACTCAGAAATATTTATGAAAATGCAAATCTTTAATTAATTTGAGTAGACAAACTGCCTCAGTTTACTCTCTTTGTCTTGGTGTACACATTGCACTGTGTAGTGAGAAATGTGCAGTTGACAGAGCAGCATCAAATCTGTCTCATCATTCTTTGACGTGTTCTCAGTTCTCCTTCAAACTTTCTTTAGGCCTGGAATCTAATCAACACAATAGGTCCACCATTAGTTCTTTCTGTCCAAAATGACCATATATGATTCTTTCAAATCAAGATGGCTTGCTAAACTCATCAATGAACAGTTAAGTATCCAATAAATTAAAAGGGGTTTATCTGGTCATGCTTGTTTTAGCTACTACTTGTTATGAGTCTCTATGGTAATAGTGTTACAGCTTTATTCAGCAATGTTTTGGAAACAGAAACTAAGATTATTTAGAATTTCATAATAACATGGAGCACAAAATTCTGGAATTCATAAATTTTATATTGGGAACACAGGATTGAAGCACTTCTTCAATAAATCAAAATAATGATTAGCATGAAGATCATGGTGCTCAAACAAAAAGTGTACAAGTAATTATAAGATATATTTTACATTTAAATATATCCTGTGTTCCCAATATAAAAATTTAAAAAAAGAGAGTGGTGTCTGGAAGAAATGAGGTATATAAAGACGTTGGAATTAAGGCCAGCATTAAAAGTTGGGTACATATGAAAGACTGGCCTTGCCTATCTGCCACCAGCATACCCAGATCCAAATACATTGATACTATGGAAAAAATATATATATATTTTAAGATATATTTTAGTTACAAGAAACTAACCAAATATAATCACTACAGCATTTAATATCTTACATTCATCATCAAGAAACATTTGATTTATTTTGCAATTAAAAATTAGGAAGCGTGTAAATTCTACCTTGCCTAAATTTTATTCTGTGTAACATAAAGAGCTAACATAATAATTCTATGTTGTTTCCTTCTAAGTGTGCTTACCAGCATCTTAAGTTCTGAATTCTAGTATTCTATTTTCCTGTTTGTGTTAATTTTGTTGTGTACCCTAAATAAATTTTGATCATTAATTTGTCTAATTTACCTATAATGACATAGAAAGGTAATCTCAACTATTCAACTATCTCCTTTAGAATGAGAAAGCACAGTCTAATTTAGTGTAGGTGTCATCGAGCCCAGAGGAAACAAATTACATCAGAGTGAGGAGTGCAATTACTTAACAAATAAATGGCCCTCAACTGACAGAGTAGGTATCTAAGAATGGTCTCTTATAGCACATCAATTACGGATAAGTCGAGTGAAATACAGCTTCTAGCTTTAAAGAGACTGTATCCAGAATAGAAGAAAGGCATTTTATTTAAGCTAACATTTTAATCAATTTATTCCATCAAATAAAGATCATGCATATTCTGAAATGGATAAAGATTCCTTAATATTTTACTCAGTCTTGTCTCTAATTGTTATGTATAATTAGGAGATAGTAATTTGCCTTTCTTTTTTAAGGGTAGAAAGTGCATTGTTTAAACTTCAGTTGAGAATTAGGTAAATTAGTGACCTCAGTTCAAATACTCTGTGTAGACTTAGGCCAGTGCTTAATAGTTGCCATAGGTATAGTGATATATAGGAGAATCTCATAGATAAATGTAAAAGTGTTTATTACACTCAAATGAATATTAATAAAAATCACATTCATATACTAATACATCATTTTCACCACCTAGAACTTAGGTTTCAGATGAATTTCATAGAAAATAATTTAACCTGGAGTTTGTTTTTTCTTTAAAAGTAAGCAGATTTAAAAAATAAGTGTACTTATGCATGACATATATAGTAAAAGTATAAACTTTTAATTAAAAAGTATATGAAGAAAATATCAACTATGATTTATATATGAAGAATAAGAACATCTAGCTTTATAGAGAGAAGAAACAGAAAACAGAACCCCAATTTCATTGATCTTTTATAACCATTGTATAATGGGATTTTACTTTTTATTTTTAGTTTATTTCTGTGTATTTTACTGTGTTGTGTGCAAATGGATCTGTGTATGTCTGTTCACATGTGTATAGACTCTTGCCTGTTTATGGATGGGATGCTTGGGCATGTGTGTGTGTGAACATGCCTGTGAACGGTTGAGTTTAAGTTCAACTAGCCAGATCGTGCCTTCCACTTGAATATTGGAATATTGGAATTACAAATAGGATGTCATGTCATACTACCTTACTAGGGTTAATCGGTCCTCTGGTCCTCATTCTTGCCATAGCAAGTTCTTTATCCATAGAAGTGTTTCACTATTCCCCAATAACATTTTATAAATTAAAACGGAAAGATCTTTTGAAAGAAGGAAATTGCAATGCACTCTAAATGTTCCAAATGATAATTTGATAGATTACCTTGCAGTACTTTGAGTACTCTGATTAAACAAATTATCTAACAATATGAATAAAGTTTATAAACTTATATAAAGTGATATAAAATCAGTCAATTGTGCTTATAACAAAACATACTATTTCTAGTCTCCATAACTTCATCTTTAATTTAATTATACTTTGAATCCTGCAAGTAATGAAAGACCTTGCTTTCAGTATTGATACTCACATTTTAAGTTGTATTTCAGGAATTGATCATTCTTTCTTAACTGTTCAACTATTTTGTGCTACGGTGACACCTAATCAAAAATCTCATGACATTTGTTGTACTGCATCTTTATTATGGACACTCTATATTGCTTCTGGAGTATCACTTTAGAGGAGGCTTGTTATTGTGTTGTAGCTCTGGTATATAACACAATGCCTAATACTGTTTTGAACATCTGGAAAATTAATCTACTGCATGAAACAACATTTTGCCAGTACACAGCTCTGCAAGCAAATCCTGTGCGTCGGGCATGTAAAGGCCTCCTTGCTGCTGCCAATTTGAGTGATTCTTGAGAAAACAAGAGAAACAACATTTCGCCTCATTAGGTGACTCACAGAAATTATGAAAACTCATGGACATTGGAACACACAATGCATTTACTCCACTATGAGTTTTGTCCTGATCCAAAAATATGTGATGAAAATGGAATCCAATGTAGAGATTTGTGTTACAAATCTTAACTTATCATTTGCTAGCTCTTTCAACTCTTGGCAATTTATACCTTTTGCATAAAAGTCAAATACATATTCTGTATGTCTATATGCTGTTTCTTGTCTCATTTTCATATAAAAAGATAATAGTAATTTTAAAGTTTCCATAATGACAACTTACTTATATTCTATGGTCACATTTTAAAAATAAGGTAATTACTATCTCTAATGAATAGCTAACACATTTGAAGTACACAAATACGATGCGATTAATAAACAATACAAAATTTTAGTCTAAGTCTGTGAATGCCACAGATAGTACATACACCCTCCGTAGACACAGATCTCTTATTGGTCATTGAATTTTCTTAACCAGACCTTGAAGCTTTCATAATTTGTTTTATGCCATGGTTGGCTTTGGATCTTAACGTTATTTTCTTTGGTTCGTATCTTTTTTGGTAGCATTTTTCTACAGCAACATTTTAATACACTCATTTCCCCCAAGAATTCTGCCCTAAATTCACAATGCTTAGTGAAATATTAGGTTTTTCCCAAAGAAAATTTCACACTTTGGGTATAAGCAATGAGCAAAATTCACATATATTGACCACTGAATGATTTATTGCAGAAAAGCATACAATCTTTCTCATGTAAGGCTGTCTATAGTTAGTTTAGAAAAAAAACTTTAAATTACTTTATAGACTATCTGAGGTCCTAGAATTAAGTCACAATATTTTAAAAATGTATGCTAGGCTTTTTTAAAAAAAAACTTAAGATTAAAAATAGAGGAAGGGGAGCAGAGATTGTAGAGGTCAATAAAAATAAAAAAAAATTAAAAAGACATTTTGAATCAGAACTTCTAAGCCTCTATGATTCATGAAACTTTCACTATATTTGGCCACCTTATGTAACAACACTTTGTCTGTCTTTTGTGCATGAAAAGATCCTCATTTAGGTTCTCAGAAACTTTTCCACATTAGAGAGATATTCTTATTGCTTCGTAAACTATATTCCCAGAAAAATGAAATTCAAAGGAATAAGTGAGCTAACTAAAGTTCATTGCAGTAATTTGTGTTGGCTGCACATCAGACATTCTTGATCCCTCTGCAGTAAAACGGGAACGTACACAAGCCTTGGATCAGCTCCAGTGTCCACAGCAGAGAAAAGAAGTTGAAACTGATCTTACTGTGGATTTGCCAAGGAACGGGGATGTTTTAGGTACAGCATCTTCAGCAATGCATTTATGAGCATCATTTTTTTTTTTAATCCGTCAAGCCAGTTAACACGTTTTAAAGAAATAGAGGCTTGAGTAATAAAGAATTACCATGTTTCCAAATGTTTATTTACTGATCCTATTCCAAGCTAAGCCAAGGATAAGTACCTCAGTGATTAACATTAGTTTGTAGACCATATTTATAGTTCTATTGTTCTATATGATAAAAAATCTTCGGCAGTGGCAGGCTGATACAATCACACTCCTCAATCAAATTAAGTAATTAAATACATGCTCCAATAACCATTCAGTGTTCACCTATGTTTTTTCATTGTAAACTTCATCCATAGAGGACTTCATCTAATGTTCCTCTACTTGATGAGCATTTAGGGGAAGTATACAACCAATAATCCATTCTGTCCAACACACCACCAACTGGATATTCCGGTAACAAACTTTGCAAGACTCCATTAAATATCAGTGGGAATTGTGGCTAACAACAAAGAGAGTCGGAGGATTTTTTACAAGTGAATATGTTTTCTATTGTGATAGTATATGACTTAGCATTTAGCTTCAAAAATGGAAGAACAGAAAATGAATACAATGTAGTCTATTTACCAATTCCTACTAATATGCTGGTTACCACCAGCAGAGAGGTTTATAC